GTGCCTACAAAGATCTCTACGGCCTCTTCAGCCGCTACAGCCGCAGCGCGCAGTGGCACACTTTCCACAAAGATGGCGTCGCAAAGCACGGCAGCATCAGTGGTCAACCCGCACGCCGGCGGGGTCAAAAGTAGCCCTGCTGCCAGCAGCAACACGGCGCGAACCCTCCTGGGAACAGAAAACAAGTCGCCGGACCTCTCACGGCAGGGGCACGAGGCTGCACTTCAGGACTGACACAAAAAGCATGCCACGAACCCTCCGTAAAACACCGACCCTGAAAACAGTCAGAACAGGATTCGCCCAAGCAGAACCTGGACGTCCGCGTGGTGTCCCAGACCGATCCCCAGGCGGGATTCACACTTGAGCTCAGTGCCCTGAGTCCTTTGTCAGCCTTCATTCCAGTTTAGGGACAGTTCTGTGAGCATGAAGAGGTGAATTCCAGCGACAAGAAGATGAGCATGCGAATCGAGCGCGCCAGCACGGACTCACAGCTGGTCAATCCATGTGCCGGCTTGGCCAAGCCCAGCCATGCTGCCGGCATTGGCGGGTCGCGAGCCCTTATGGGAACAGGAAGCACGGCGACTGATGTCCCTCTACAGCGCCGTGGGTCCATGTCTTTGCTGCAGGACTGCCGCAGTCGAAGTTGAGCCACGCCAGAAAATGGTCGACCACCTCTGATCTTGAAAACACCAAAACAGTCAGCGCAGGATCCGCTCAATCAGCAGGTTGACGTCCACACGGCTCGGACCATGCCCCAGGCACAGGCGCGATCATTACACGGGGTAGACACATCTGTCACATTTTGCCAGTCATTTGCTGTCTACCTGCCGGCTTGGTTCCGTGAGAGGCTTCCGGGGACAAGATCGCGGAGACGGCGAGCGCCGGGAGTGCCATGGCGAGTGGGACTCAGACAGGCATAGACAGCGTTCCAGGACCCGTCATGAAGCGGGAAGTGGCATGGAGCTGCCGGACCCTGCTGGAGGATGGTCCTCCGCTGCCGCTGCCTTTTCAAGCAGCAACAGAGGTGCCGGTAAACTTGAAACCCGATTCCAGCGGCAGGAGGCACTCGCTGCCATCGTCACTTCTTTCTAGGGATGCCACGAAGCCCAGACCGAAGAAGACCCTTCGGTTCTCGGAGCACGTCGACCACAGATCAATCAGCCCCAGACCCCGGTCCGCATCGGCTCCCGAAAACTCCGGAACAGCAGACAAGCTTCGGGGAAAGACCATGGCAGCCCAAGGGACGGCTCGGTCGTCAGCATCCAAGGCGTCCACAGCCGCCAAACCCGTGCCGGTGCAGAGCTCTAGCTTTTCTGAGTTCTTGTTCCTCCCACCGGTTCCTGAAAACAAGACAGAGCCACCTCCACAATCGTTGTCCAACTTCTTGTTTGCTCCAAACGGCAGCACAGCTCAGCACGCAGTGCCTGCGGTTGAGATGGAGAGCAGCCGCCGAAGTGGGGAGGAGCATCATCCCGGCAGCGCCCACCACCAGAGCAGCGATGCCCACCACCACAGCAGCGATGCCCACCATCACAGCAGTGATGCCCACCGCAGCGGTGAGGCCCACCACCGCGGCAGTCAATCCCAACATCGCAGCAATGATACCCACCACCGGAGCAGTGAGTCCCACCACCGCAGCAGTGATGCCCACCACCGCAGCAGTGATGCCCATCACGGGCATGGAAAGGGGCCTGCCAGAAAGAGGAAGCACGATGACAAGCATGATAAGGGTATTCAGCAAACATCCTCCACTACAGCATCAGCCTCCACTTCCAGCTCCAGCTCCAGCGCGGGCGAGCCAGCAAGCCTGGCTTCCCGTGGCGAAGTTTCCGGCACGATGGTCCATCATTCCTCTTCGTTTCAGGTAGGTTGCTTTTAGTCAGTTGCTGAAGTCCTGCGGGGTAGTGGGTGGCTACAGAAGATTGTTCGGATTGAAATTGGGGAATGGGGGCTGTCCTGCAGGTTACTGAGGAGATGGCCCGGGAGGCCTACGAGCGCGGCCTGGGGTGCAGCTTGGAACGGCGTGTTTTGGAACGCGCCTATTTTCTTTTTCAGAATGGCCAGAGCGAGGACGCCGATGCCAACTACTTCACCGCGTTGAGAATCGAACTCAGCGAATCAGGCTGATGGTCAATGACCATTGCAAAGAGGTGGAGCATGTCACGGCTATAGAGCAGGACGCCGTTTGTCTTAGCTCTTTGTAGGAGATGCCCTTGCAGGCTGGGCGGGCTAAGGCTAGGTGAGGCTAGGGGCTAAGACAAGAGCCAAGGCTTCTACGAATCGACACAGCAATAGCACCAGGGGACACAGGCTGCCCGGCCTTCGCAGGATGTTTAAAGTGAGCCGTGCGGCCACTAAATTAGCGAGCGGAGCCGAACAAGGCATCCCGCAGCTTCTTCAACGTAGCAAAAAGCTGCAATTTTCCTGCAAGAACAGAACAGAAATGGGGCAGCACAGCTCTGCCATGCCCACGGCGGCATCAAAGATGCTGTTCGACACACGGCTTTGTCCAACCTGGCTTTGTCCAACCTCGACTCGCGATCCTTCGCACAACGGGCCTTGCCGGGCGTTTATGTTGCATGCCTCAGCCTTAGCAAGCGTACTTCGCCCAATATGCATAGATCGCCAACATCTGCTCGCATGATGCCTTATTTCCGACGCTGCTCTTCCCGAGTGTGTTTAGCTAGTCTTCAACATGGCCGCTGAATCCATCCTGACTTAGACGGGTGGCATGGACAGAGGGCGGAGGGAAGAGTCGCCCATGCCCGATTCTCAGATGACATTCGGTGCAGTGATTCCTGGCAATCACATGTAACGATGTACATGTTTGATTTGATGTGCATATCTGCATGTGTTCATCTGCGTGCGTATAGGTATGCGTGCATGCATGTGTCGAAGTCGTGTAGATGCACTTATCTGCCACTAACGTCACCCTGCAGAGCCAAACTGTTACAGATCGAAGTGCATGATGCACATGCTGAGCTCCACATTACCAGGACGCAGCTATCCCCGGCCTTGGTAAGGAATGTCTTCTACAACATCTCGCAAGCCCAAAAGCGATGATCGTAGATGTCTCAAACCCCAGATATCGATCCTGTTCCAAAATCCGTGCCTGCGAGCAAGGTGATGTTCGGTGGTGCAAGCCTGCAGACTTCACTGAAATCGGGAACAATGAACGAAACCATCATTTCTCAAGGTATGGAATTGACTCAAACCCCCACGTCAATTGAAGTTCGGATAAGATGAACTGGTGTCGACAATCCTCTGCAAGAGAAGGTTGGAAGCTTTGTGAATTGTTGACATGCTCAGTGCCTGTCTTGCGAAGAGCGAGCCACTTACCAGCAGTCGGCCACTTTTGTTCTAGTAATCCAGGGTTGATGCCCATAGCGGTCATATCAACCATGTAGATGCGAAAAAAGCGGAAGCACATGCTCATGAAGCAAAAGAATTCAGTGGCACAACAGCTCGGTGCAATGAACCCCACGACATCTGTTGAGCAGTGCAGGAGGGGAACCATGTAGGTGTTAGAATAGCCCGGCATCTGGCACAGACTGTGCCTTTAACCGAGAAGCATCTACCTGAGCAACCTTCAGCTTGAGTAGCACATAAACTCAACCCTTACATGGTCCAGCATTCAATGTTTGCAGTGGGGGAGCTTTCCACAACAAAGCTTCCACGGGATGGCACAACAGCCCATAGAGCTGGCGACGGTGCAATTTGCATCGTCGTTTGGAGAGCCAGTTTGTGAATGCCTGTGGAGAACATCAGACATTATGTGCATGTCACAACGTATGTATGTCCTACATGCGTATGTGTACATGTAAGTCTGCAGACTTGTCCAGTGAAAGAGCTGCGATCTGGCAGTAATACGGAGACCTAAGCCTAAGGAATAAAGTAATAAGGTAATCATTTTGGCTTCTACATCCACACGCACACCTATGTATATATATATATATACATACACACACACACACATGCTCGGACTTCGGCCGGTCGACAGAAAGCATGTTGCCATCATTGTTGACTTCGAATGAAACTAGAACTTAGCTATTCTGAGGGTGTCGCGGCAGGAATGCCCAAAGGGCCATGGTGATGCCTCCTGCTGTGACCCGCATCTTCGAGCGCGTGGACCGAGTCGCATTCTCGGGATGCCAGATGTAGAATACACAGTGTACTACATCCATAACGTGTGCTTCTCTCAGGCGAGTTTTAAGTCTCAGTGCAGTCGAAACCGATGCCTCGCGCTTGAGTTGGAACCCCTCTTCGCACATCGAGCTCACAAGGGCAAGCGCTCGGCACCAAGATCTTCTGAGTTGATGAGGGTGATTCTAATATTCTGTCTAAATAATTCTCGTTATCATAATCTCAATAATCAGGACCATGAAAACCGCTACGCTCTTCTGACAGTTGCAGAAGAGGGTGTGTATTTCGTCGAGACTCGACGCGAGGACTGGGGCCGCTGCTGCAACAGTCTCCGCCTCCAAGTTTTCCAGATCCTGTCATTGACCTGGACAGCTTTCATCACAAATTATACCTATACATATATACATATATGCATATACATATATATATATATGTGGCCACTGGCCACGCCGAGTGCGAGTCCACGGAGTTATTCCGCGCAGGAAAGCCGACCACCTCGTCACAGAGGAGACTCCTGGGACTTGCCAGGACTTCCGCAGTGTGCCGTGTCGAAGTATTTGCATTCTGCAGGTCGCCACAGCACTTAGATTGAACACCCGGCTTCAGCATCCATGGACAGGTGTGGACGACCAGAGCCCGTCGGAACCTGAAAACAGGGAGGGTGAGACCTAGCGAGGTACAGGTGAATGCGTGCAGTGTGCCAAGTGTTGAGATAAAGCTCAGGAGGCAAAGATGCGCCGACGTAGAGGTGTGGGCTTAGCTTGAATGGGTGCAACAGTGTGTGGTTTTTGCTGATGCATACGAAACTGAGAGACCTTTTTAATAGCATGCGCAAACTGAGTCAGGCTGTTTTGCCCTGGCTAAACACTTAGTTCCAACATTTATCGACAAGCCCCGGATTTGCTTGCAACACTCATCCCCAGACACCAGCATGCCTCCCAGCAAGAAGTCCACCTGTCTTCTAAGTGTTCACATCTCTGTTCAGGAAACGACCAGAACGCTCGCTTTCATTAATTAAAATTCGGTTTTTATTTGGGAACGAAATGAACAAGGTGGGCAAAACAAACACGCTTTCAATCACAAGCTCTTTTCATTGTGTTGCTTCGTTCACTTCGTTCACACTTTTATTCTAGGAAGAAGAGCTCGTTGTTTCCTTTCAACTGAATAAAGATAAGTGAAAAGAACGCATGCTTTATTCAATTCTTGAAATAAACACGAGGGAACGGAAACAGAACCATTTCGTTTGTCTTTTCCTTTGTGCTTTAATTTGTAATGGTTGAGAAGAAGCACGAAATTAAAGCGTTGAATGCAAAAACGAAATGGTAGCTAGTGTTCGTTCCTGTTTTGTTTATTGAAAACGAAGGGAACGAAAGAGGAGGGTGCTTCGTTCCGCTCATTACTTCGCTTGACTACAGTACCTCTTTTCTCTTTCGTTCTATTCGCTCCACCTTAAAGATAAACACAACACTCTCCTCACTCAGTAGAAAACTGGTGGTTAACGGAGAATTTAAAAGGAAAATCAATAAGGAAACACGCGTCCCTTCGTTCTTTGTTTTCCCTTTGATTTTACGCTTTTCCTTTGCTTTTCCACCAGCCATGTGATTCTCTGTTACTTTGCTAGTGAGAAAAAGCGAACGATGGGAACCTCTTCCTTCAATTCATTACAAAATAAGATAACAAAATAAGCACGATATTCTCTTTATGTTATAAAATAAACGTAACCACTGAACGAACGTAACAAACAGCCAAATTAAATTACAAAGGTAAGTGAACACTCACGCTTTACATTTAATTTGGGTTCTTTGTTTTAGTTCGCTCGTTCGTGGTTTTATTGTGTTGTGTCTCTCTTCTGGGTCTTTTCGTGCTTCCATCTACGTTCCACTTTATTCCATTGCAAAAGACCGAGAGAAAAACGGCAAGAAACCACTGCACATCCTGGAACTTGGAGCCTCTAATCATATTGATTAGGTGGTAAAGTCGAGTGAAACAGGCCCTTATTTAAATAATTAAACACAAGCGGAATTGGCCTTTTTGCTTCGTTCTTATTGTGTTTGCCATGCCCACTTGTTTCGTGCTTCCGTTCCATTCATTAACAAGGTGGGCAATGAAAGCAAACTCATGTATTTCATATTAGGTTCACGGAGTGAACAAGGAACGAATGAAATAAAACCACGAACCAGCATGATTTAATTCGCTCGTTTGCTTTATTTGGTCCTTTCCGCGAAAGAGCTAAATTTAATTGTGTAAAGCGTGCGTTTCGCTTCACTCACCTTTACAATTTGAGTTTAGGCCTTTAGCGTCACTTTAGTTTTAGAAGATGCACCCAGTTCCCCGTGGTATAGCTTAAACCTTTGGAATCTCCTGTACGTTCGTGTCTTCTTTGTGTTTAATTTAGTTAAATTCACTCAGCTCTCTGTGTTCCTTTGTAATCTGATTAAAGCACAACAAAGAAACTCTCTTCACAATCTTATTATTAGGTGTATTTTTTACTAGGAGATAGTGAGTGAAGAGATAGAACATGTGACAGAAAAGAAACCGAGGAACGAACCGGTCAATCACAGGCTCATTTCATTACATTCGCTTCTCTCATTCGTTCCTAAAAACAATCCCAGAAAGAATCCAAAAGATAATGGTGAAAATACATAGCTGGTCCCAAAAATCCCAAATTTCCAAGGGTTTACAAGTAATGGTAGTGATAGCCTGGTTTGTACTGAATGAACCATGCATTTAATTACAACATTAGGACTAGTCTCGTTCATTCATGCTTTTGTTCCCTTTATTTGGTTCGTTTACAATGGAGCAAAGAGGAAGCGTAAAACGAACCAGAGAAAGAGCAACACAAAAAACATGAATTCGTTCGTTTCCGAAAAGACTCTCAATGGATGGGCGTTGTCGCAACATGCGCAATCTGACATGCTGTTTTTTGGCGATCAGTCGCCACTCAGCACCTGAACGTCGATGCTTCAAGTCCGCCACATCGTGCATGGCCCTACATAGACTACGTCGATTGTCGATTAACGGCCACAGCTGGTCATCATAGTGGAAAAAGGGGGCTTTCGCACCAAGGTGGCGAGTGCACAGCGCATTCTCATGCACGGGTCCTTCATGGGACGAGCCCAGACGCTATATTATGTTGTTGGAGTCTGACACTTCTATACTCCAACCTCCATGCAGGGCCCAGCCGTTGTTTGACTGCGCCTTCTGCTTCAGTCGACTTGACTTCTACTTACCTCCATGCAGCACAAGCACATGCAACAGCTTAGCAGCATTTTGCTGAACCGCATGCCCCGGAGAAAAATTGGCACCCCGTAGGGACGGCAAGGCATTCAACACTCAGGCCTCTTTTTCAGCCAATACAGGATCTGGCCACTCCGCAAGATTGCACACGCCCTTGTTGCTACAATCAGTCGCGGCAGGTGACGGAGGATTCTCTCAAAGTAACAGGACGGAAACCCGGCTGGCGCGTATTCGCAGCTCAGCTCCTAGCACACCACCACTGAGATTCATAAAGTACCGAACGGTTGAATGCCATTGCCTTCAGTCACCATCTGAAAGTACTAACGTTCACCACATGTAACCCAAGTACCAAGCCATGACCGCAGACCTAGCATCGGGTGAATTGAGAAGCTGCTTCCGATCTTCGCTTCCCCCTTTTATTAAACACCCTCCCCGATTACAAAAACACAGTGGGCCCAATCCTCCCGACATCATCCCTGCCCTTTGAGACCTCTTCTAAATTAGGGGGGTTTAGGTTGACGGTTTAGGGGTGACTGTGAGTTTGAGTCTGAGTGTGAGTGTGACTGTGAGAGAGTGTGTGTGAGCACACAAGCCCTCTTTGAGCCTGCCTGTGCGGAGCGGCCGCATGATCCTTCTGTCTGTCTCCTTGTCCGTCTTCGTGTTAATTACTAGCCCTTTTCTACCCAAATCTGACAGTAGAGATAAAGCTACCTCCTAATAATAAACATTTTCCGAGCATCGGAGGGGCCCTCCACCCCCCGTTTAATATTGGGGAGAAAGGAGATTAGGTCTGAAACCTATGCAGAAACAGATGCTAGGTGTCTGAACCGCGAGGATTGGCCCTCAGTGTTTCAGCAACAATTTGACGCAGCAGGTTTGCCGAGTGCCGAGGCCGGGCGGCTGCCTTTAGCCAGTCCTACCCCCACCCTGCCTTTGCATCACCTCGACCGCCCATGGGGCCGCGGTCTCCACGCGGCTGGGCAGCATCATCTTTCGAGCAGTTTGAGCTGTCGGGCTGTTTCAAGTCGAATCTTGGCCAAGGCAAGCAAGGGGTCACGGCCTTAATGCTGACCGAACGAACAGCATTTGCAAGCTTCTGCAAGTCTTGGGCTTGCATGGAGGCTGTTGCTTCGGCCGTGCTTGCAGAGACTGCGGCGGTCTTAGTTCGCACTTCTAGCAGAAGGGGCGCATACGCTTCAGCACGTGCACTTGTGGCCAGAGAGAGGCTTTACCTATGTCAGAAGTGCGAGCAGCTGTTAGACTACCAGACTGCAATCGGGAGCAGATGGCCACGATTCCCCGGAGATGAGGTCTACAGTGCTCCTGTAGTGCCGGGCGTCCCGCCTGCTTGGATGAGGAGCGAAGCCCAAAGACGACCGAGATAGCATGCGAGCAAGCAGTCCATGCTTTTGGCGAATGCGTTGAAGCAGGAATTTGCAATCCTGTTAGGTCCAGGTTTGTAGAAGCCGATTTCTTCAGATGATGGCCCGATGAGGGGTGAGGATATGAGCCACCTCGTCTGAGCCGCCTTGTGATGTTCAGACCAGGCGGCGCCGGCCACACGCGCTGCCGCGCCGTGATCGGAGCAGCGAGCGGGGACGACAGGACAGCCTGGCCTTGCCAAGGGAGAATGTGCAACAGTGGTTGGTATATGCTTTACGCAGCTTTCGCAGCACTGCAGATATTGCAGGCTGAGGCAGAAGCACGCAGGGCCCTTATTGATTAGCTGCAGAAAACCCTCAATTCCCGACTGAAGACACCTAAGGCGAGAAGCCCACGAAACCATCGCAGCCACCAGAGAAGCCACGTCGAATCCTCGGAGATGAGTCGCTTTCTGACACCTGTTAAGGCCTCTGAGAGCTTCTGTTCGCATCTCGAGGTCCTGGTGCGACGCGCTGGGAAAAGGAGGCCGAAAGAAGGTAAACTTGCATTCTGATTGCTATAGAGAATGACGAACATCACCATCTAAGAAGACGATGCGAGACTGGCACTGCAGCACTTTTCCTCGCGACTACTTTTACGTCAACACATAGGCTGATGTCGGCTTTGGTGAAACCGTTTTTGGCTGCGCAAGGCGGAGCGAAAGAAGGTTCACGAAGCAGTAATCGAAGCTGCAGCCTTGGATATTCTTGGATGTTTGTGTCTCTGCGTGGGCGAGTGCCGATCATGGACGGCTGTGTGAGCTGCGCATCGTAGAGGCTTGTCGTGGCTTGCCTAGCAGGCCCATGAATCTACCTTTGGAACACATCCGAGCTTTCGAGAACCTGCCCTAAGTGACGTCCAGGGTGACCCCGGGATGCACGGACATCATAACTTGCCCTTCCCGAGATGCTGTCAACACATTCCTTCCAACTCTTAAGGGGGATCTTTGTTTGCCTTTTGCCTTAGTACCCACGCTAACATACGACCGATTAGGTCTGAAGTGGGGGGGTCTGTTTCCGGCTGCCAGCGTGATGTGCTGAACTTCAGGAGATGATGTCACAGGTCGTTCATGGAACACTGGACTCGTTCATTGGTGCGACGCTCAGCTGGCGCGAAAACATAACAAGACACACCCCCCAGACGAACCTGCAATGCTGAGCACATTGCATTAAGTGCAGGCGAGAGCTTGGACAGCCTCAGTGACGGCCAAGCCAGCGACGCTGTTGAAGTAGTGGCGTTGGATGCTGAGCTCAGTTGACGGTGGAATTGTTGTAGAAGGGGGCAGCTTGTGGCCGTGCAGCTGCGTCGTAGAACTCTATAGGTTAGAAAGAGTGGAGACTCGTCAAACTGGAAATTTGTTCGAGCCAATCTCACGCCATGTGCCCATCTTGTCTCACTTCCAGGTGTTGCGAACATCTTAGCTTTTTCACAAGGATGCCTCTATCGGCGCACCCTTTGGCCCTTTTTGAGGGAGTGCAGGGGGGGTTGGAACAGCTTCCTTGAGAGCTTTCGTAGCTTGTGGGCCATGGGATCGACCTTTCTGGCAGTCCTTGCCCAGTTATTTAATCTCGAAAATGCCGCAACAGAACCCTGGCTACATGCCGAAAACGTATCCGATTCATCCTGCAAGCTGCAGGTTTTTTTAGCGCGCTCTCATGGGAGTTTGGTGCCTTCGCTCAGCGGCTGGAGGTTTGCTGGTGCAAGAGGTGTCACAGTCAAGAAGATTGCACCTCTTGCATGAAGGCCAGCTGAAGAAACCAATATCCAGGTTGATTCTTGAATGCGAGGAGCGGCTTTGTTCACCTACAAGGGAGGCCTCAGGGCTTTCTTGCTGGAATGGCCAGAAAAAGGCTGAGCCCGCTTCTGCACAAGTGCAGCCCAGGGCATCGCCCCGGCCTCCGGGAAAGTTTCAGCCCTCCTGCGGCGCACCGAATCCGAGTCGTCGTGAGCTGCGGGAATGGGTGATCGAGCCCGTGTGGTGGAGCACTACGAGCGTGCTCGGGGCCAGTGTCGGCCTGACACCACATGGCAACGGTTGTCCAGTAGAGCGAAAAAGTCTCCAATCGCATGGCGTTGTTTGACCTCTGAGCTGCAAAGGCCATGAAGGACATAAGTCATCTTGTCGGTTATGAGACAATGCTGGGGTTGGGGTGCCGGTCGAGAAGGAGGCCTTGGACTACTAATGTTGACACGTACAGAATGAGGAACGTCATCTGGATGATCATGCGGTGCCGACATAGGAGTCGGGTGCAACCCCTCAATCCCAAATTCCCCCTAAACCATCATCACTCATCTTTCACTGCAGACTTGAGCCACCCTGCCATGGCGTGTCATCCTTGCGTGGTGCTATGCAATCATCGCCGCACAGCAACACATCTAAATATTGACGAAACGCATCAGATTCGCGCCTCAAATGCCGGCTGGCATAAAATAGGCCCATTTTTTAGGCATCCCACGACTTTCCACGGTCATGATCCGTTGATTCTCAGGCTGCTGTCCGGTGAAGACGTGCGATCCGATTTATAGGGCCCTATTAAATGTGCTCTTTCATGCGGAGACCCGGTCCAAGGGCAAAGAGCTGCTAGGCAGGCATGAGACATCAGGCATTCAGAGGGCTACTTTTGGGGATCGGCACTGCTCGGTACTCCCATCGCCTTTGAGGGAGCGGTGCGACCTGCACGAGCTGCAATTAGCTCAGCAAAGGGTCCCCGACAGAATTCGAGCGCCACCTTGGCCGTTCGTTGGCATGGCGGCTGAAGGCCGGATGCTGCCACTGGCATAAAGACAGAATTTTTGACCGTCTGGCTTGTAGGAAGGCAATGACTTCCTTGGAGGTCGAGGGTGAAGGAGCCTACGAGACTCGGCAGATTTGTCGGGTTGCAGCTGGTGGCAAGGGGCAGTTGGAACGGTGTGGTGCAGTTGGGGAGCAGTGTGGACGTAATTTTGCACCGAGGACGATGACTTTGAGGAAGAGGCATCGTATCTGACGTCGCAAGATGGCTTGTCCCGTGCTGATTCTCAGGACGCCTCGGACGATGACCGCGAGGCTCGGCAGCGCAGTTTGGCACAGGTCCAGAGAAAGCTATGTGAAAGGCACCTCCTGCAGATCCTCCGGCGCTGTCGGGTTCCCATGTTTGTTCGGTCGCGCAGATGGTTGACGGCGGCTCGATTCGACAAGGCCAGTCTCAGCAAGGACGGATAAGCCTCCAAGGCTCATCATAAGTCATAAGTGCTGTAGAACGTCGCATCAAGCAAGTCATGAGCCCGGTCCCTCAGGCCATCGACTCCCCAGGCATCGCCGGCAGAGGCCAAGCTTTTTTTTTGGCCCACTTGGTGGATCCCGAACCGTTCACTTCCAGCCGTACTGCTGGACCCTTTTGGCAAGCTGCCCTTGCATTCTCCGGAGAGTGCGGAATCCTGGCAGGCTCGCTTGCCCATCCGGCGAGAGCCCTCCTTAGGCCGATCCGGGAGCCGAGGAAGTCCCGTGAAGGCCCAGCGGAAGGCGAAAGAGTTGCTACGCTTGAAAAACCGAGAATGTGAGGCGGATCACCGACATTCCGTGTCGATGCCTGCCGACAAGGCCAGGCCGAGCTAGACGCGCACCCTTGGTCTTGAGTTAACGGCCTCGCCAGCCGGGTGAGGATCCGCGGGTCAGTCGCACAGGCCTCCCCAGCCAGTTTTGAGACAGCGGATCAAAGGTCGGCGGCATTTTGTCGCTCTTGAGCAGCGTGGGGGCAGGCTCAGGTGCACTCATCGTTGCAGACGGTCTTCCTGTTCTTACGAGCTTGGACCGGGACCCAGCCGGAACGATGCAGCATCTGCTGTGATATAGGAACCTGATTAAGAAACCCTGGATCTTTTTCAGGGTTCTTTATATGAATCCTAACATAATGGGTTGGAGGGCCAGGGTTTCTTAATCAGGTTCCTAAACGAGTAAACAATGCAAGCCGTGTCTAGGATGACCAGCTGGACAACGGAAGGAGCGCGGCGTTCGCACAGGGGCGGTAGGGCTCTTTACCAGCTAGGCGAATATCCCCAGCTTTGTGGGTTTTGTTACACGATCCTTCGATCTGTTGGCCTGTTTCCACCAACAGACACGGCCGGGAAGCAGAGTCCGGCTGCTCATAGTCGGGTGCAGTGCATGCTTGCTGTCAGGACAGCTGTCACATACACAGCTGTGCCCGTTTGTTGAGCCTTTGACGAGACTCAGAAGCAGAAGCAAAGCCAGTCGCTCAAGATCGGAGGCCCATTCTTGTTGTTAGGATGTGTCCTTCTTTTTCCTGAACTGTTTTTGTTTTCGGGCGTTTGGTTGCTTGGCTTTTCGCCTTCCCGGCCTTGGCTTTTGTCGGCTTCCTAGTTTTTTTAGTTGAGATACCACCAATGGCTTTTATTTTTGTGCCTTGTTACAGATCGCGACGACCGTCCAGCTGCTTTTGCCTGCAGTTAAAGGAAAGTGGCCTCGAATTGTTTTCAGCAGGAGCATGGGGAGTGCCCCAAGCACAGGACGGCGGGTTGTGCCGGCGACTCACATGTTGACACTGCGTCGGCGATCTATACACGCACATCTGACTGAAGGCGTGGGAAAGTATCAGTTGGGGATGACCATCGGCCGGGGACGGGTGATAGCTCCACTCAGGGCGCGGGAGCCTTGAATTCCGACAACTGCCGCTTGAGGTTAGCCTTCTTTGCTGCTTTTCGAAGGTTATCTCGCCGGCAGCCCCGCCGAAAGACTCAAAGCCGTTGTGGCCGCAACCTGATAGTGCTGAAACTCCAACCGTAGCTCTAGCTCGGTGCTTGGGGAGCACGAGCCCTTGAGCTCGTCACCTGGCCAGGCTGCAACATGACGGCAAAAGTGCACGCAACAAAGATGCCACAGCCTCAACTTCCTGGCCCCACAGGGCTGTCGACCTGCAAGGCATGGTTTTCCTCGAGTCTGGATGCATTGCACTTTGAGGCTCTTCCGAGCTCAGGGTCGCCTAGCTCTGAGCACCGCGACTCCTGTGCTTCGTTAGGGAAGCCTTTAGTGGGGTTTAGCCAGTAGCCGCCGAGGGTAGATCCAGATCCACCTCGTGGGGCACGCCGTGCCCCTCGCTTGAAGTCAGCCTCAGCCCTCCGTGGCAGCACCGGATATGGAAGCCAATAAGCATGCGACGGTCTCGCTTCACGAGCCAGTTGGCTCAAGAATTGCCTGTCGCCTAGATAGACAGACGATCTGCCGACAGCATGGATTCTAAAATGGTGCTTGACCTTTTGGTGTCGCTGGACGACGACACGCTGCATTTCATTATCGGCGAGCTGATGCAGAGCAAGCCGGAGCTGGCACCTGGCCTTGTGACCTTCGCTTGCCCAGAGCTCACATATGCACCAGCCAAAGCCGTGACGCAAAGGAGATGTAATGGCGTCGTTTTGACAGTTAGCAAAAATGACATGAGTTTCATTCGTTGTCCCGAACTTCGGCAAGTTTTTGAATGCGATGTATGTGTGGCACCTGAGCACATAGCCGGCTTCAAAGAGGGCCAGTGTGTCAGCTTTGCTGTAACGCTTAATGATTCGTCCGAGCCCCAAGCAATCGACTTGCAGACCGACCCGCCTACTCCTCCAAGCTTCATGTCCAGATCCATGGGAGAGCCTGGAATGATCACCGCGCCAGCCGCGACAGCCGCGAGTCCCATGATGGCATTGGCCAATGCCAGCGCCAATGCCAGCTCTGCGACCCCCGCAGCAGGCGCAGGCGTTGTGGTGCCGAGGAGGGTCTACAGCACCAAGGGGGGAACCGTCAGGATGGAGGAATTTTCGGGTCCGGCCAAAGATGCCCCCGGAGTCCCCGATGCCAAGGGCATGGACGCTTCGGCGAATCTGGCCAATGCCAATGTAGAGGAGCTAGGTGAGTATTTTGGCTTTGTGAAGGCCTATGATGCACAGAAGGGCTTCGGCTTCATCATGTGCAAGCCTCTGAAGGATTACTATTACAGCGACGTCTACGTTCACGGAGATGGCTGTGCAGGTTTCCAAGTGGGTTCGGAGGTGAAGTTCGAGGCTTATTTGTACAATGGGAAGTTGCAAGGACGCGAAGTCCAAGATGCGACGGGTCAGGTGGGATCTGCCGGAGGTCTCCCCGAAGAGCTGGGGATTTTCATCGGAGAGTTCAAGTGTTTCAATTTCGAGCGCGGCTTCGGATTTATCAGCTGCGACCAGCTGCGGGTACAAGGATACCCAGGAGACGTGTTTATACATCATTCTCAGAGAGGTGAATTTCAACCTGGCGACACGGTTGCGTTCACTGCAGTGTCAATGGAAGACGGCAGGCTTTTAGCAAAAGATCTCCAGGTGGGAATGGGCAAAGCCAAATGAAATGCCGTTTCCTGTGCTAAGCGAATCGTAGCTCAGCGACTTAGGCTTCATGTGGTCACAGAGCCTCCTAGAATAGCAGACAAGGTCGGATGACATGAAATCGCAAGTCTCGTGCGAGGATCCGCAGACAGCATTGGCCGGCGACGTCGAAAAGGGCATGGCCGTCCTTGACCACATGCAGGTCATGCAGCAGCTCCCGGAGCCCAAACAGAAAAAAGCTGCTCGGCTCTTTCGGGTCTTTTCGAGTAATGTAAGCCTGAGCCTAAGAGATTGAAGGGAACTTTCGACCGGAGTGACTTCTGCTCGACCACCAAGGTGAGCTTGTACTAGTGTGGCAGATGCTCCTGAGACCGCTGCACATCCAGACCGGTGACGACATGCCTAGAACTCACGAATGCGGCATGTGCTCTCCTAGAGGAGTCGCCGCTGTGTAAGTTGGAGCTCAGCTTCAAAAAGACTGCGCACCCGCCTCTTGCCTCTCTTCGTCTGGCCTTGTGCTGCCTTTCTCTGGGATTCATCGCAAGTGATGCAGCGTAGCTGGCGTGTCGCGCTGAGGCGAGACCTGGTGAAAGCCCGGGCGCCGCTTCGGAAGGGGATGCTGTGACGGAGACTCAGATTACGCCAGCCCAGTCGAATTCGCGCACCACGTCTGGGCTGCAGGAGAAGCGAGGACCCACGAAAAATCAAGCGTCTCCAGCAGGAACTCAGGGATCCTGCGCACATCGGGAGCCACTTTATCAAGGGCTCTTTGGGAGCGCGCTGGGATGTCCTTAGATGGCTGGCATCTCCATCCCACCTCTGACGTTGCAGGAGGTTCAACGACTTTCTCAGCGCCTCCAAGAGTCCGAGATGTTCTCTGCCCGATGCCGAGCCGAGCTTTGAGACTGTCGATCGCCAGCACTTCGGTTCGGTTCGGCTCTGCCGTAACATGTCAGGCTGGTGCAGAGCATGTCGACGCTGAAACCTTCTGCTGTACGATGCCAGGCCCACGACGATGGGTTGCCAAAGTTCGCCTTAGAAGAGGCGTTTGAGAAACCAAGGCCGGGACATGTGCCTAGGGTCGAGCTTCTCTGCAGGTGGCGGTGGGCAACATGATCGCTCAAGGCGGTTTCTCCTCAGTGCACAGAGCTTAGCCCGTTTGCCTCAGTTGAAGGCCTCTTCGTGCTTCCATTGTCCATGCTCCATGCCACCCCCCGGGGCTGCAGTTTGAATGTCTGTGGGCAGTGCATCTCAGGCATCACGCAACCTGGATGTGCACACCATGTGCTTTGAAGAAAATCTTCGATCCAGTTCTCACAGCACCTCGTCGAGATTCAGTCCTGATTCATCGGGTTCTGGTTTGCATCTAACGGTCAACACAGGCAAACTGTACTTTCCTAGCTGGTCTCAGACTTTTGAATTAAGCGAATCCTGCTGCCTCGCCAGGAGGAGCTCAAGGCAGAGTTTGAGAACGAGGCCGGTGACCGCAGCGAGTCTACAGTTTTTCTTGGGTATGCGATGAGGACGAACACGCAAGCCTTGAATATCTTGTCATTATGCAGAGCCCGCTTCGACCACCTTGCAGCTTGTCGCTGAACTTGTCGCCCTTAACTCGGTGAGGTTCAGATGCTGAGGCGATTGCGACACCCCAATGACTCGACCTTATAAAGGGGAATTGCTTCACGCGGCACATCACAGTAGCAGTCCGCGGAAAACACGCGCTTTGGCTGCCGCCGACTGCCTCACTAAGCTCAGGTCGTGACACTGATGGCAGTTTGCAGGACACCTCCGGCACTGAGCATCCTTACCGAAATGGTCCGATGCCCTGGTCGGCGGGTCGTGTCCAAAGAATCGGCCATGGGCAGCCTGCGAGGTCTTTGGAGGCTCCTTGTTTGAGATCCTTCATGGCACAGTGCAAGGAGCTCAAAGGAAGCTCCCAGTGGCAGCTCTTCTTTGGAGCTCCGCAGTGTCTGAGGCCGAGGCCTCGAGGTTCCCTCGAGGCCGACCCAGCAACTCTGCCTCTCGGTTGCAAGAAAGATCGAACACGGCCGCGACTCGTGTCGTTTGAGGTTGCCTGTCGTGCGCCAGGCAGGGACCGGGATTTTGGGAGAGCGCGCCGGCTTCGCATGGCTTCGCGATCCATCCCGGAAGTGTAGCCTAAAGCGTCACTGGGCTGAAGGCTGGAGTTGCACTCACCTACCTGCATGCTATGATGGTCGCCGGCTTGGTTGTTTTTGCTCACCGATCGAACGCAGCATACAAAGCTGTTCCAAACTCCAGTCTGGTTTTCGAGGTTGTCCACAGGGACATCAAGCCCAGACCCCAGGTGTCAGTCAGAGCACAGCTTTACACAGGACATAGAGCGTTTGTGCCGTTGTAGTTTGGATGAGAAGCTTTCCCCCCCCCAACCGCCTCGAGGTCTCAGAATGTGCTGCTGACCGAAGGCAACAGGCGGGGCCGGCCGCCGAACGCAAGCAGCGAGTGCATCTTCAGCTGTATCCCCGGCCAGAGGCTGCCCAAACCCTAGATTTTCGGAGTGGAACAGGCAATTTCGGGCTTCATATATATATATATATCTGTGTGTGTGTGTGTGTGGTTGAGGTGGATCTTGCTTTATATGCGCTGTTAGCACGCTCTCTCTTGGATTGGAGATATACTCGGCTTTGGCGCCGCCGGGACGAAGTCAAAAGACTGGTAAAGATTCATGGGCGCCGCAACCAAGGATCCTTCAAGAGAGTGGTTCCAGAAGGCAGCAATGCCAGAAACAAAACGGGGGGGAGGTAGCCGCGCGGGCCTGAAGCATTGAGGAGCCTGAACTCGAATGCATGGAGCCTCAGATTTTGGAGACCGTGGAGGGCCAGAACTGCAGCATATCTTTCAATATCGCACTCCCATGCAACAGTCATCAACAGTCTTCGTACCGTCGTCCTCCGGCTTCTGCTCCTGATACTGCTACTGCTACTAGCACTAAGACGGCGACCATAGCTACTGCTACGGCTGCTGTTGCTGCTTGCCTTATTCCGAGCAATCCGTCATCGTACAAGGAAAGTACGGCTTGATGCGATCCCGGCGCATTTCGCTATCAATGCAGGAGACCGACCCTTAAAGTGAAGCATGTCACTACTTCACAGCGCCAGGCCTATAGCCAAGCTTTGCGACTTCGGGCTGGCACGGATGCGCTCGGAGCTGTGCATCGGCCTCATGAGGGGAAGCACAGCCGCTTTGTTACAAAGCCTTCGGGCCCGTTGACCTTGGTCCTGGAATTCAATATGATGTAGGATATGATAAGATAGTAGGCTACATTAGGATACTACTTATTCTAATCATCACTTCACAGAGCTGGGTGCTCACATGGGGGCGGGATTGCGCAAGTGCGGATCTCTGGAGCGCACTCATCAACAGCATCAGGATCTCCTGCGGTGGGACCCAAGCTGATGGTATGAGAGGGTAGATACAAGCTGGGAATGCTTTGGCTTAACAAGAACGGGACGGGGCACCTCGATGATGCGGCAGGGTCACGCAGTTTGCATCTTTGAGTTTGGCTTTGTTGGGTTCTTCACGTTGACCTCCAGGCACTGGGTCAATGCAATGGGCTGGCACTGCTCCGTACATGGCCATCATCTCAACAATTTTCAGACAAGGCAGAAGCCCGAAAGTCAAGCGGGTTCTTGAGGCACCGGAGCTCTTTGCGAAGCGTAAATATGACGAGACTGCCGGAATCATAGTCTTGAAATCTTGCGTCGGCTTCGCATTCACTTCGGCTGCTACAAGGTCGATGTTTTCGCATTTGGGACCATGGTCTGGGAGGCTGTGTGCAGATGGTCTGGACCTGCCGCATTCGACTTCCTGACGAGGTTGCGGCTGCTGAAATTCCGCATGCCAACCTTGACGCGCCGGACATCGCGCACCGCGTGCAGACCAAGGTCAGGCCATCCGTAAGTCTTCCTCTAAGTCTTCTTAGGGCGTCCATTTTGGCTGTCAGCATGACTCGTGCAAAAATCAGGAGTTTGCTGGCCTGAGCGTCCCGCACAGCTGGCCAAAGTCTTTGAAGTGACTTGGCCGGAATGTCGGAATGCCTAGGCAGCCTGAAGTTTGAAGCTCGACTGGAGGAATTTGCTGCGGTCTGCGCTGTCCGTCTGAGCCTCGGAGCATCTTCTGGCAACCTCTTCTAGGATGCCAGCAATCTCGGCGAGATGGCAGGCCCAGCCAGATCAGCGTCCTGCGATGACGCACATCGTCACAGAGCTCGAGACAGTAATCCGGGATGCTCGACTGCAGCTGAACGTGGATCCAAGAACGGTACGCAGCAGTTTGTCAGCATTCTGTCAAAGACCGTGAATAAGGAGTTTGCGATCTCTTGAGCTGGCTTTGCAGCCAGCCGCGGCTTTGCGTCACCGCACGTCGCCACCTGAAGCTGAACTGCCTGCAAACACTGCCGGCAATCTGACAGTCGTCCCTGCATGGACAGCACGCAAAAAATAACAAATTATGTAGAAGGCATACAACAAGCTGCAAACTAAACCCACAGATGGGCGAGTGCTGCAATGCCATGGGCCATGTTAATGCACAGTACGATGTGGTGTGCAAGATGCGCACTACCTCAAACCAGCACCGTTGAAATATGTGCAGAGCTAGATCAAAGCGCCACAGAGTTTTGCACCGCAGTTTGCTATAGGAGTCTCTTCAACCATTCATGCTGTTCCGGTGCAAGCCATTGCATGGCTTTGAGCAGTACAGTTTTGTGGTTTTGTTAGGGCAGCCTTGGGCTATGTCTGAAGGACATAGAAGCTTCACAGGCTGCTGCCCTAGCCACTGTTGGCTGCTTTTGCAAAGAGTTCTGGAAAGATGCATCAGGCACGAGGGGGAGATCGAGCCGGAGATTACCCTTGCTTTTTGCATGCCGGGCGCTTCGAAGGAACCTTTTTCTTGGGCTTGCTCCGCTCTCCTTCGTGGGGAGGCGCTGTAGCTTCATGGAGCTTGCCATCTACCATTCGCTTTCTGCATCTACAAGACAGACAGGCTTGGCAAGACACTGTTGCCAGCACTGTTGCTTATCATCGCATTCCTTGGCGAGGTATCCCTGACGGGCGGGCACTTGCCCAAGTTGGGCTTGGACTGAATCCCCTTTGTAAGACGTTCACTTTGTGCCGTTGAAGGTCTTCAGCTCTGCAGAATCGTCGGCGGTCTAAGACAGCAATGCATGCCACATACTCACCTGCCTCGAACTCGGCTTTCATGACGCAGCTGGATTGAAAGGAGGTGAACACAGGCAGCCCGTGAGAGTGCGCACGAACGCACATGTTCTTCTGCTTGTACTTTCAACGACTCGAGTGACTCTTTGTCATTTAGCCTCTCCAAGCATACTCTACTGGGTGTAGTAGGACTTGTGTGAGCAGCCCAGGCTGGGCCCGGTGAAGAGTGGACTGCGGACCAGGACGGTCATTAGCTTGGAATCTTCGGGCCTTGAAGGGCGAAAGCGGCTCGACTCGGCTCCTCGGGCACTCGACTTGAAGGGCTCAGGTTCCACTTTTGCTTCGGGTCTCTCCCATATGCCACGGAAAGAAGACAACAGCCGTGAACAGCCTACGCCCTCGACGGCACCACCAGGACTTCTGATTACTGATGACCGGCAAGTACCACAAACCCGATGTTTCTGAGACATTCTGAGACCATCGGAGGGCGCTCATCAAGGATCGGACGCAGTCAGGTCACCTTCTTGCCAACTTAGTTGGATGAAAAGAGAACCCTAAGCCCTAGGATCAATGCAGTCCCTCTGCCGACCTCTCAACCCGAGCTATGACAGCCTAAAGCCCCAAGACTTGCGTGGAGGACCCTTCAATGTAGCGGACGTGGGTGGTTTTCTTGAAGCCTTGCCTTGTGAGAACCGAAACCATCCAGTCGATCGTTGAAAGGAGCGGACAGCCATGGAGGAGGTCCTTGGCCGAGTGGCCAAGCTGCAAACGTTCAAACCCATCGCATTGAAATGACGCCACGTGCCTTCAGACTTTTAGGTTCAGATGGTTCAGGGTTTGGGGTGCCGTGTGTCGCTAGGTGCCGCCTTCAAGTCAAGAGACATCCTCGCTAGCAGCAGAGCTGGTTGCTCAGTCAGGGCCACCATGGCACGCAGCAGCCTCTTTAGCTGGTCATCCTGCTTTCTAAGTCATGGGGAGTTCAACGCTTACTTGCAGTCTGTTGAGCCGTCAGGACGCGGCTTCTGCGACAGCAAACGCAGGAGCTAGTGAAGGAGCCAACCTGTGTAGTGATGCTGCGTTCGATGCGGAAGTGGCTCCAGGGCTAGGTTTAGCAGGCTGAGGCAGTGTACTGTACATGCTGCGGGTGGCTTCATGATTTCGCAGATATACGAAGTTGGTGTACATGAGAGTGTTCTCGAAGGGTGCGAAAGCTGTAAAAGGGTTTATGCGGGATGGCTTGTCTACCGCAAGCGAAATCATGACTGCACGACTGCACATGTATAGTCCAGAGTTCGGAAGCCACGGTACAGGAAATTCGGCTGCTTCGTGAGCTCCTGCCTGAGAATGAAACGAGTGCGCGAGAGTGACGAAAAGTTGAAGCGAAGTTTCGGAACATGACAAGGTCGCTCCAACAAAGGAAAGGAGCTCAGGCCGGCAGCGCTACGCGCCAGCGGCAGCCTGAGATACAGTGAGTGCTTAACCACATTGCATGAGGCATGACGAAGTTGGCAATTTCAAGGCTCTGCGAGAAGCTAGCCTTTCTTGCTGACTCCACAAACCAGGCAGAAGAAGCAAAGTGTGTCTGTGACCCACGGACAAGTCGACATTAGCAGCTAGCACAAGCATCCGACTCCTGCGAGTGGCAATGATTCCACACAATGGAGTTGGCCTCCGGCTTCTTCTGTTCTCTCTTTCGACGCTTGTTGCGTGCTCCTGGCAACCTGAGGGCGCAGTGGCTGGGCTCCGACCATGCGACCCTTAGAAGCCCAAGGCTTGGGCGAAGACCCTGAAGCGGCATGTTTGCTTTGATAAGTTCCTGGCCTCTAGCACCTCAGCCTCATGTTCTCATTTGCGTCTGCTACTCATTACCATGTGATATGCTACATCAGGTGGAATGTCTGTGTGAAAAACCAAGAAGGGGATAGTGGGCTTTATGCAGGTGAAGGTTTTTGAGTGGGCATAGATGGCATAGTGTGATCGACACGCCCTCAGAGTCGTCCACGAAGCGAGTCGTCAGGAAGGCAGACCTCCCGAAGTTGTACCTGCCGTGGATGGGCATGAATGACAACACGAGTTTTTGGGTTTTTGAGGACAGCGTCAGCACCTACTTGGTGATCCGTGGACAGCCCACCAACTGCAGATACGGACAACAACTACAGCAGAAAAGTTCTTTAAAAGCTGCCCAGTGACATGAATTTAACGGTCTGTGTCGATTGGAACCGCGGTGACAGTGACATTGCTTCTCAAATGAAGCATGATATCCGAGCCTAGCCAGACTCTGACTGGTGAGACAAATACTTGGTGAACAGGTATGAAACCATGCAGCAAACAATGCGGTGTGTCATGTTCATTGTGATATAGTCACAGTGACATCTCGTAGGTTCAAAACAGATTCTTTATGGTATAGCAGCATCTCGTAGGTTCAAAACAGACACAGAATCGCACAAATATTGAACCTGAGCCTGGGCCCAGGATCCCTACGAGATCCTGGGGCTTCCGCGTGGGCAGCTCGCAGGATGCTCGGCTGGCTTTAGGAGAGCTTTGCCTAAGAAGCTTTGTTTAGGATGCGAAGCTCGGTGTGGTTTGTGAGGGAGGGAGAGGGAAGCAGGAGTAGCAGAGGAGTGGAGAGCTCGGGGCCGAGGTTTAAAACAGGCCTATCGCAAAGCAGCGCTGAAGTGGCATCCGGACAAAGTTCCAGAAGCCCAGAAAGAGGTGGCCAGGGTTTGCAAGAGCACCCTGCGTTGCTCTCCTGCTGAACAGCCCATAGGCAATAAATGTAATCCCATCCGCCTTCGACTAAACCCGGTGCAGAATAAACCTCCCCTTTCCGCAGCTTCCGAGTCAAGAGGAGGCCGAGCAGCGCTTCATTCAGATCGCTTGGGCTTACGAAGTTCTCAGCGATGCCGGGCGTCGGCGTGCTTTTGACGACCCGCGCCCGCACCGGCAGCCTGGCCAGCCAAGCCTCCCAGATGAGATTAAGCTATAAGACCAAGCAAGAGCAAACGATGGAAGCACAGTGCTCTACGAACAGTATGGTCGGCAAAAGGATGTAAATAGGCCTGGTATATTGGGGTGTTTTTTGTCATCATTCGAAGTGCTCTTCACTAGCCACTGGACGGTGTGCGAGTGAGCCAGGGTGCATAGGAAGAGTTGAGCCGCTGTAGTAAGCTCACATCGAGACTGACATTAGGGCATGCTCTGCTGAGTAGCCACTCGTGACATTTGCAGAGACACTCCGAGCACCAAGCCCTCAAAGCTGCGGTTTTCTGAATCCGGTTCGTAAATTCGTCCTAGCCAGGCGAGAGGGAAAAATTCCGGTTTGGCTTTTCGTTACAGTACCAGTCTTTGTCGTTTCTACCAAAGCTATCATCAGAGAAGGCCATGACCGAGAAGATGCGAGAAATCGGCGGGATTTCTCCATGGAGCAGGCAGCCAAAATCTTCAAGGATGTGTTCGGCGATGCCTCAGCAGAGTATCGAGACCTCATCGAGCACCTGGCAAGATCCTACCACCACGGAAGCCCGGAGCAGTGGAGACGTCATGCAGAGGCAATCCGAGCTTCTTTGGGCAAGGACGCATCCGGAAATTTCGACGTGAAGACATCTTCTGCAGATGGGATGGAACACCTGGAGTCCACCCAGACAGTGGAGAATGCTGCCCTGCTGCATCAAACCGCGCTGCTGTTTATAAACAACCAGCTTTGGACTTTTGTTTGCTTTCGTGTTTGCTTGCATGTGGAGCAGCGCCGACAAGGACGGCAAAGGAACTACCAGAAAGACCGTCACGACGAGACATACGCACACCTCGCATCAGCCAGCTTCCCAGAATGAATACAGCACGTCTCAGTGCTTCAAGAAGACATTGACAGTCGACAGGCCGTCCGGGGCCGGGCCACTGCCCATCCTGGACGCTGTTCACGGCCAGGCAAATGCAGAATTCGGAGCTGCCATGGCCTCCCACTTGGCAGCACACGAGGCTGCTGCGGCTTGGCTTTTTCAGAGCCGGAGCTTTCAGCCGCAGAGCTCTTGAGAAATGAGGTAAAGGCCGCTAACAAAGCTGCCTTTGACAGCTTGCCCAAGCACGGCGAGTTCTGAGACCTGGGAGCAAACGCTCGCTTGAAAAGGGTTCACGCATGACGGAAGAAGCTGGCAAGTAGCCAACCCTTCATCTCGCCTGCCTGCGCTGGGCACCCCAGGCCAACGGCTGCAGTCAGCCCAGCACCAGCACCGCCAGCAGTGTAGGTGCCTGAGGACGATGTGCAAAGCGCAAAAACGTGTAGGGGAACGCTGAGTGTGGAAGCACGGCCTCCGCGCGACTTGTGCATTGAGGGCGCCTGCCCCGCCACCTGTAGCACCTCCACCAGCACCGCCTGTAGCACCTCCACCAGCACCAGCGCTCTGGACTCAGTCACAGCGAGCTTTACTTCGATATTCGCGTAGAGCATCGACTGAGGCCACCAGCTCCAGCTGTCAGCAAAGCGGCGGCACCGACCCCACCAGTTGCGACCAAGTCTCAGCTTCGATTAAAACCCCTACGGAGCAACTAGATCGCTCTGCAGACGAGCGTGGGACTTGAAATACAGTCGAGTCTTTTATGCAGAGAGAAGGTCTACAGCGACGGCTGCGGAGCCTGCGCGACGACCAAGTTGTGCATTGCGGCATTGTTCACCAAGAAGTCGATCTGCGGCAGCTGCAATTGTCGTGTGTTACAAATGTTTTCATGCTGGAGAGGCTAGCATGGTGCTGGCGCTTCGATGTGCAATCAGCTTCGGTTGGAGAGTCCAGTCCCAGAGAGCAATAGACCCGCCTGTGTGGTGCCGAGCTCCAGCGAGAGAGGCTGGCCGAGTCTCATCATTTTGCAGGCCAAGGGCAGAAAGAAATCGCGCTTCAGAGCCCGAAGCCATGGATAATCTTGTTAAAAGGCACAAGGACTGCACTGCGGTAATGAAGTGGGAAATGACAAGGAAAGAGCCCATCCCGATCCATTCTTGGCTGCCGGAACAGCCCATCGACCCGCTATCCCCCACCCTCGGCAAGAAAACGCCGCACAAATCGAAGAACAGAGTTACGAGATTCGCACGGTCCTTCCATCCTGATCCAGTTTGGAAGTTGTTGCACAAAAAAAGAGCGACATGCAGTTGAAATGTAGGCTCGAAAACAAGCTGTCACAGCCAGAGGTCACGTCCACAGCTGCAAGAGTCGTCAGTGCACGGCTCTTGACTACGTTCTTTTCCCTCGGGATGCGAAGACAGAATTCTCCTTGCAGCGATCAGGCTGGGTGGGGTGACGGCAACATTGCCGACTTCTTCTTGAACGGTCGCAAAATTGACATCCGTGGGGAGGCCCGCCAGCGTGGAACTTAAAAGGGACAAGGCTAATGCGCAACGCAGCAACAGCTAGGCTGGCCGACGTGGCCTCAACGTGGTGACCATCGACCCAGACACTCAGCAGGCACCAAATCTCCTTGACTCAGCAGGCACCAAATCTCCTTGACGTCTCAGATGCCACCTGCTCGGTGCAACAGGTCATGTCTCGCAAGACATACGATGTCTGGGCGGATCCGCAGACAGAGAACACTCGCCTAGTCAAGCTCTCAGCGAAGCATCCAGGTTTCCCATGTACTCATTACAACCCATCAGCAAAAACAGCTCTGCTTTGGGCAACTTCTCCTTCTCAACTCTAGGAGTCACGGTGACATGTCATGAGCAAAACATCGCGCAAGCACAGCTGTGCCAGAAGCAGCCACGAAGCGACACAGAGCTTGTGCAGAGGCCGCTGACATCAACAGCTTGCCGGATGGCCGCGTGATCCTGGTTGCATGCAAGGAGTTTGCTAGCGAATTCTGCATCTGCTCCGGGAAGAGGCTTGCTTTCACGCTGCCAAAGCTTCTGGTCAGGTGGAGAGTAGTACCATACCATGTGTGAGGCACCAAAGTGAGATCGTCCTCCAACTTCTTTTAAGCTGCTCCACAGGTCCGTGTGAGTTCACCGTCCGTGCTTGCCAGCGCAGCATGGCGACAGTCCCGATGTGCCAGCGCCTGTGAGAGCGCGATGTTCAACACATATGCCATCAGCAACCCCATCAAGGCAAGGAGCTAGCAAGATCAAGCCCAAAGAAGATGTCGGGAACAGAAGTGACCGCTACAGCTCTTGCAGCAGCTCAAGACCGCCAAATGCAGCAGGTAGAGCCTGAGCTTGAACAAGAATGGCAGTCGCCTCAGAAAGTCCGTTAAATTGTGGTCGGTGAGGTATATAGGTGAGGCCGGCGTCGTCAACATCTCGCGATCACATTCCGCCACTCTTGCATGTTCAGGAATTCCGTGCAACACACGAGAATTCCCGTGCAACGGCTTAGCACCTTGGCATGGCGAAATGCAGCCGTGCCAGACATGCTGCACTGCATGGACTGTCGCATGGTGTTTGTGCATCAGTGGGCTGAGTCGTGAAATCATCACAGGTAATGACAAGTTCTTTGAAGAGGAACTCGATCGTTTCGGTGCGATCTCAGTGCCGTATCGGAATTGGAACGATGCTGTTAATGTCCTGCAAGATATAAGAGCTTTTAACATTGAGGTGAAAAAGTTGTTCATGAAGGACAATTTGATGAAGGCTTATGAGAGAGGCGCGTACGAGAGACAACATCGGCAACCTTCCCAACAGGTACGGGAGCCTCAGATGCATTCGGCACGGGAAGTAGAAGGATTTCGGAAGCTCCTGTGTGAGCTTCGTGTATCCAGACGTCGGAACATACTGCTTGGCAAACGAAGAGGGGTGTCAACTCAGAACTGGAAGCTGCCTTTGAGGGAGGAGCCAAGCAGTTAGGCGAGAAGCATGGCACTTTGGTGCTTGAGACCTTAGGAGCCCTGAAGGTATCTCCGTGTGCAGAAGCTACATCAGCATCCCCTATTCGTGCGAGCATTGTTCGGATCCGTCTGTCTGAGGTCGGGAGTGGAATTGAAAGTCACCCAACAAAGCACGCCTCCTCTAAGCCGAGGTGCCGCTGGAGAAGCTGCATGAGGTTTGCTGCAAGCTCCATGGTCAGCCATACATCCCGACACGCAGCTGAATGGTGTTTCAGCAAGTTAGCATGGGCAAGGCATGTCAGTTTTCACCGCTGCAGAAACTGGAGCCGGGGGCATGGCTCACTCCGTTTGCGACAGCAAGGACTGGCGATGCCAAGTGGCTGTCGTGGAACCCCCTGACCTGGGATGATTCTTGTGCCAAATCCTCACCGAAAAAGGCGAAGCAGCGAGTATCGTGCTTTGGTTAAATTGCCTCCAAGATGCAACCTCATTCTCCCCAGTCAAGTATGTCATTCCGCTGCATGCACTAAGCAGTGGACCACATCATGCTGTCGTACTCTAGGCTATGTTTCCAAAGACTGTAAAACGCCGATCAAGACCCTGTGGAAAGCGCAAACTTGCACAAGGTTGCTGGCAAACGATCAGGAAGCACATTCTGAAGCGATGCGGGAGCGCAGGACAGAGGCATTGCAGGCGGTGCTTCATGCAAGGCTAGATCATTCAGGTTCGCACGATCCCAGGGAATTGCCAGGCTTGCTGAATTGGGCGATGTGCACACAAGAAAGACAGCGGGACCGAGACGAGTGAGGAGAGATGATTTCGGAACAATGTCCAGACCTCTGCATGTTGTACACGGGAAGTGAGCGCATCCAGAAGCGGGGTTGAGAGTCGAGTTGGAGTTGGTTCCACGGGTCCCTCACAGGGCGAAACTAGGTCTTGATAGGTCTTGGTTGTGTATTTGGTTCTAGGCCTGCGTGCACTTGTCTGGGACAGGCTTTCCCTACGGTCGTTTAGTTGTGGTTTGTTTGTGTTCGTAGCCGCCCTGACAGCCCTGCCTGCTCAGTGAATCTACTGAGTGGGAGTTAACGAGTGGTTGAACCAGTATCGCTGCAGACCTTGCCAGGCTTGTCCGAGTGTGAGTGTCAAGAAAAGAGTGTGCAGGATTTTCGATTTGGTGGACGAGCTGGGGCACAAAGTGGAAACGGATCAGGTGCAGAGTCTTGGCTGAATAAAGGCTTGTGAAGACTCTATATACACACGGCAGTTTACCGCTTGTCTATGATGGAAGGAGCATCCGCCGGCATCCAGAGGCCGGCCTATGCTCAATGCTCCAGCATCTCTTAGAAATGTCGTCTGCAAGCATGCCTCCATGCAGGTCTTCCTGGCCTTGCAGTCGGGCGTGCCTTCGAAACTAAGGCACATCGCGTCGAAGTGAGGAAGCGCATACTGCAAGGGAAGCGACGCGTTCAGCCTGAGGTGCGAGCTGCTCGAACGCCTCAAACATCAGCGCAAGCTGCTTGCTGAGCGAAATGCAGCGACGGAAAAGCAGAGGGCGATCGAGGCCCGTTTGCTCTCGAGGATTCAAAGTATCATTCGGCAGAAACGCACCATTTGGTAGGAACGCAATGACCTGAGCTTCGTATCATGACCCTTCAAGGCAGCCAAGAAGCAGGAGGCAGAGAAGCCAACTAAAAGCAGCCGAGCATGGAGCTTGTCTGCACTGCGACGCTTCACGGGTGCGCGCCGCGGCCCGAGCGAGCTTTTCGCAAGAGCATGCATGCATTGGGGCAAGATGGCGAGTAGAAGACAATAGATTTTCACAGGTCAGGCGTGGGCGGCTTGATCTTGGCAGCCACCTCTGTTGTTCGCAAAGCCTGCGGGCGCATGGCACATCATGGCACATGATATTGCCTGCCACCGCAAAGTCCACAATTTAAGATGGTGCAGAGGACAGAGCCAGTTGAAGGCTATTGGACATGTCCTGAATGGCCGAAGCTTTGGTGTACAGGCGTAGCAAGAATCTCAAGGATCCTTGCCGGCATCCATGTCCAACCTGCCTTTGGCATCAGCGTTTGGAAAGTGCATGGCTTTAATCTGCCCTTTCCCTGTAGGCTTGGGTTATTATGGGAGCTGTCAACTTTACAAACTGCGAGCCTGCCACTGGCACAGACTCTTGGAAAGCCATCAACGGGCAAAGCTCAAAGATTCGGTATAACAGAAACACGTCGCTCTTGCCGGCCTTGTGCAATGTCGCGACTTGTGCATGCGAAAGGCATACATGCAGTTTCAGACACGGCAGGACTCAGGCATGGAAAATCTCGATGCCCGAGCAATCTCGGCACTTTGGAGCGTTGCCCTCTGGTGGTCGATTGCCCCATCCGCTGTGATCCAAATCCTGTCAAAGAATCAGGTGCCGGCGCTTCTGTGCCTGGTGGCAAAGAGAGGGAGGGCTACGCTCTGATCGGGATCAAGGGAAGTTCCGGCCTTAGCTCAGCTGCAGGCGGGGAAACCGAAAAGCATTGGATTTAACAAAGAATCGAACAATTCTAGCAGCCCAAGGCGAAGCGCTTGCGGAGCAGCAAGGTGGTCGAGTCTGGCTCTCGGGCGCCGCAAAGCTCGCATCTCGCTGCTGCCATGTTGTGCCTGCTCAGCCCAGGTCGAGATAGAGGGCCAGTTGCCTTTCTTTGCACTTGGCCCAGCATGAAGCTGTGAGGCGTCAGTCAGTTCGTTAGCGCAGAGCTGCAAGAGCTTCGGGAAGATGCCGCCTGCATGTAACCGAACTCCTTGAGGGTGCACAGGGTAAGACCTAAAAGCATCAGACAGTACCCGACGATTAGGTGCGACACCCTCCTCCTCTTCCGCCGAGCTCACCATCGCCGCCGCCGATGCCTGCGCAAGCGACTCAGGCTTTTCAGGTCAATTTTTTTGGATACCTATATGTAAGCCCATCAGCTGAAGCATTTGCAGTACCTGATCCCCTGGAGGGCAGCCCAGCCTCGGCAGTTTAGCCCTCCGACCTGGGTCCCTGGCTCAGCCGCTGGGAGTTGCGACGGAGATTTCCAAGTGCCCCACAGCGTCATCGTAGGCCAAGGAGCCCGCAGCTCCGAAGCCGCCCAGCACCTTCCCAACCGCCCCTCCCACTGCAGAGATCGGCACTCAGCGAAAGATTGATTTCTTCTCCTGCGCAGAGCATGATGGCTGCTCTGGCCGTGCTAGATTTGCAAGTCGAGGCCTGCGCAGAAGGTGCGTGTACCGAAGCTGCAGGCCCGGGTTCCTTTGGCAATTGGGCTATGCACAGAAGCCGCTGCGAATCTGACCCGCCAAACTCCCGGACACTACGAGCTTCACCCTCAGTCACAGGGAGCTTCAGTGGTTGATTGAAACTGCCAGGTAGATCCCCAGGGAGGGGTGACGTACCAAGATGAGATGGTCGAACGGGACGGCAAGCCCGAAGAACAGGGCCAAAGTTGGCAGGAGGCCGGCGCCATGCAAGAAGGGTGCTGTGCAAGTGTAAAGTTTTTCTGCCAGTGAAAGCAATCTTGGACGAGAGTAGATTTGTGTCAGGTCGTGCTCATGTTAGACAAGCTGCAAGCAAAGATAAAGGCTCGTTGGTCTAGTGTCAGGGGCAGATTTCGATTGTTCATTGCTTCAGAGTCTCTCTCATGGCTGAGTCACATTGGAATGCAGGCGAAGCGACTCGCGGGTGCCTGATCACCAGAGGCTCCTACACTGTACTATACGGCCCATGTGCAGCTACTTGGATTCATTGACGAACAGCTTCTCTGCCACGAGGTGAACCTCCAGATGGATTTGGCGACGGAGGCACAAGCCTGACCTGCCACAACGCTGGAAACTGCATAAGACGGTTCACTAATGGCAGCCGGCAAAAAGTTTTCAGCAAATGCTCCAACTGCTGCGTTGCGCACTCCCGCCGCTTCAGGGCCCGGTGAAATTGTCGGAGATGCTTTGTACAACCGCTGTCCAAATGCAGCAGTGCAGAAATGATGTCGTGCTGAAGCGAGACGAGGATACTCGTATCCAAGCTGTCCTAAGAGGGCAAATCAACTCCCATGTTTTTCAGCTGCAGAACTGGCTCATATGTATGCCACGCCCGGCTTGACAAGTCCATGTGCACCATCGTGCCCGACCCTTGGCTTGGCATTACACACCAACATCCCAGAACGTGTAACCTACGATCGTCGCCATGGCTGGCAGCAGGAGGACACTTCATCTTCTGAGGCTTGGTGACGCAGTAGTCTTGTGGAGATTGAAAAACGCTTGTGAACCTTGTCAATCCGGTTCCCTGCTCCGTAGTGCCTATAGGGTAAAGTCTGGTGCCTATGTATGGTGTCGGTCACGGTGTTCCTGGTGCTCATGTGTGGCTATGTTGGCAACAAGGGCGCGCCGTTGCTGCTGACAACGGATGTAAGTGCCATCAAGCTCGGCTCTGTGGCTGCCCATCATCCCTAAGTCCTCTGTCCGAGTTGTGAGAGCGTAAATCTTGAAAGGAACCCTTAAAGGATCCTTACTCTTGGGTTCGGGGGTTGGAAATCTAAGACTTGGAATACGCCGAGGAAAGAAGGCTGGGTCATCTGACCCACAAGATTTTATCCGATCCAGATAGTGGAAACAAGTTTTTTTCCGGCCACATCAAAGGAGTGCTCAGACGATTTGAGAATGAACTAGCCGGGTGCTTAAACAAGTCGTGAAACGGTTTCATATTCCTCAATCGGCATTCCGTGTACCGCTTTGAAGAGGCAGCAAGAACTTTAGATCTCCAAGCGAACAACATAATCGACATCATCTGGCGAAAAACTTGTGATCGAAAATGCAGCCACTGAACTTCAGCAGGCCCCGCAATTCGTGAAGAAGCAGTTGCGGGCCTTTGTGGTGTGGCGGGACGGCTGCACTCCCTCAAAGCGGTGTATCCACCTCATCCCATTGGCGGGCGCTTGCGCAAAGCTTTTGAGGAGAGAGCCGCAAACTGCAGCTTCTGGTGTTGCTGCGGTTTTGGCGCCTCTCGAACTTGCACCTTGGTCGCAGAAGATGGCTAGGTGCCGTATCTAAGGTTCCAGACCTCCAGTGCTTTCTGACTTGCTCGTTTTTGGTGTGTCCACGTCCGCCTGCACTCCAGGAGGGCGAGGGCGGCTTGCCCAGACCTGCGTCTGGAGCAGCCCAACTGGAGGAAGGTCCAAGGGACCCTTGCCGCCGGGGGCGTTTGGCACTCTCCACCCCGAAGGCATGTGTCTCATCCAGCGCTGCCTTGCTTAGGACGGTGTTTCGTTTAATGAGTTTAATGCAGCCGATGCATTGTCAGGGCAGCCGTTGAAAGAAAACCGAAAACAAGTCAGGGAGATGTGGTACGTGTGTTGGAACGGAGGCTAACTAACGAGGGCTTAGTTTGAGCATGTCCTGGACAGGGCACCGCGCCACGTACGCGCCCGGGTTCGAGGGCCTGATACTGGCAGAGCACACCGTCATGATCTGAACCGATGGGAGCCGCCAGTCGTAAATCAAGTGTCGAGTTTTCGTGGGTGCCCCTTGCACAAAGACAATAAGATGGCATGCAGCACTCATAGTTGCATTTTGATTTGCTTAGCAAGCCATGCAATAGGGTCTTTTCCCATTGGTCCCTCCCGAACAGACGAAAGTCGTCCCGCTTGCAGCAGAATCCTTTCTTGATGCAGACCGGTCCTACCATAGACAGGCAACCCGAACGTCAACAAGATAGCTGACAGCTGCACTTGGTAAGAAAACCCTTGTTGGCGTAAGCCATCAATCAAGGCAGCTTTAAACAGGCCGCTCCGAAGTCACAAGTAAGAAAACATTGCAAACAAGAAACAAGAGCAGATTACACCGAAGCACATTCATCAAAGAAGGTTGCGTTCCCGGTCCTGGCACCAAATTTCCAGATTGACCAACTCGCACGGATCCGAGGAAGACATTGGATCAGAACGGTGCTGCTTGCAAACGGCTCTGCTCCCCTCGCACCCGCTTGCGGGAAAAGCAGTGGCTTTTGTCACAGCTGCCGTGCGTTGGACATTTCACAGGCTGGCCGGGAAGGAAAGTTTTGGACATATTCTGGGCCCGCTAATGAATGCAGTTCCCTTAGCTTGCCTTCCTGAGCCAGGTGTGGACAATGTCCAACACCGTGCTCGTGCCAAGCGGGGAGCGGAACGCCGCCGGTGTCATCGGCCCGGGCTGCGAGGCGGCAGGGCGAAAAGAACAGATTGGTGCAGCGCGAGCCCTGTGAATATGTAGCGCAACAGTCGTGTCGTGTTCGTTCTTCTGGGACGTGTATATATGTACATGTTGTGTGTGCAGGAAGGAGTACTGACGCCAGGAGATTTCCTGAAAGCAGAAGGCTTAGGAAGTGAAGGGAAAGGCT